TCAAACTAGGGCCTCATGCTTGCCAGGCGGGTGCTGTACCACTGAGCTACCTCCCTAGCCCTCTGCTTCCCACTTAACACTTAGGGAGTGTCTACTTTATATTGGGCCCTGCTCTCGGTGGTTTCTCTCCTTATCCCTATTGTCTCATGCATTCATCACAACTGGAGAGACAGACAGTTTCCCTCTTTTATGCATGAGGAAAGTCAGGTTTCTCCTCCTTTCTTGTGCATGACACCAACACGGTCTTTGAGCTCACGTCTGTCTTGCAATCCTGTCCCAATATTCTTTCTGTTTTCCCCCCACTGGCTCAGTATAGTAATCCAAGCCCAGAATCATAACAAATTTCTCCAAATCATGTTTTGGAAGGATGATTTTTGGCCAGGTTATTAAGTTACCTTGCTAAAGTCATCCACTTTGCATGATGAAATAGTGCATCAGGGCTTGAAAGAAAAGCAGGCAAACAGGACAAGAGCACAAGGCCTTGTGGGCTCCTCACACCCGTCAGCAACATCCCAAAGCTTCCTGCCCTCTACTCTGCACCCTGCACAGAGTCCTTGGCTGTCTTCTCAACATGATAAGGAATGGCTCATCTCTGAGTGTGCTGCTCCTTAGTGTGACTACTCCTACAGCCTCAGGGACATCTTGCAATCAAATAACAGACCCTTCAGCAACCCACCTTCTCCTCTCAGAGAAGTGCTTGAGGAGACCACTGCCCCAAAAGCCTGGGGAGGAAGCATTGAGTAAGTCTTGGATTGGCAGGAGATCAAGCAAGTATCAGAGGAGCTGGCTTATCTGACAGAATCCTTACTGAGAAGGCAGCAAACTATTAGGAGGTGTCCTCCTGTGTGTCTTGTCTCACCTGCAACCCAGCTCCACCTCCTTGGAGCAAAGTAGAGAGGTCTGCAGAGAACTGGGAGACGTTGTAATACAAGCCAGAGGCTTCCGGGCTATCGTCTTTGCTCTGTGTGTGTCTCAGATCCCTCTGGCACAGCCCAGCTGCTATTTTTCCTTTCTTTGGAGAGAAAGCTGGCAGGGGACACTGAAGGTTGTTTGTTCTCATTAACTGGCCCTGCTGGTGAGTGGGAATGCAACTATTTGCAACCCAAATGCTTAGGGCATATTGCTGGAACATTATAGGCAGGGGCCCATCCCAGGTATCGTCTTCTGAGTCTATTAGAGGTCGCAGACACAAGCTCCAAACAACTGTCCTATTGAAGCATTTGGGAAGCTTGGCTGTTAAAAGTAGTAGCAAAACCTAGGAAACTGTCTTTATAAAAGGTATGGAGAAAAGCATTTGTATAGCCTGCCTGCTCTTCAACAAAGAACCCGTGGGTCCTTCTGGGTAAGATAACCCCATGTCAGCAGGTAAAGAAATAATGTATTGGTGTAACTTTGTTCAATTTTCAGGTAGAGCAAACAATTGTCCAAAGTACACGCCCGAAGGAACTATGTCAGATATAGAGTCTGCAGGCCTATAGGGCAAGCGCTTGGATTGCAAAGATATAACACATTTCCTCCTGTGGGCTGTTACAGTTAGGATATTACTCTATGTCTCCTATTAAATCATGGCTAGAGCTATTTTATGTGACCACTGTTACATAGAATGGCTTAAGTGAGCTACCAGTTTGGAGGAAGAAAAGAAAATATTGATATTAGGCAGTTTTATGAGAGTATAAATCAAATCCAAAGTTTGAGATAAAAAAAGTAAATTATTTATGGTATGAATTAACTTTGGTGCATTTTTCCTGATTTAACCTGCATGGATACTTCAATTCTTCTGTTTTATTAGCCTGCAATAAAATAGATGATGTATTGTTTGACTTTAAATTCTCTGCTACTTATGAATTGGAATGAAATGTTTAAGAAAGTTTGTGTGGGTTGAATCACTTTTCACTGTTGTGATCAATATAAATAAAGAGTTAAAAATAAAGTTCCATTTAATGAAAGTATGGTTTATTCTTATATATGATAGCTTCTAGGTATGCTTCTTGAAGTTTAACTTCACTGAAAAAATACCTACAAATATCTTTTTTTCTCCAAAACTGTATTTAGTTTTAGGAAAAGGCCTTTCTTTTTTACTTAACATCAACAAGGTAAAGTTAGAAAGTTTCTGATGGGGAATAATTCCTTTTAAACTAATAAGTGATGGATAATCTAATACTAGTCATTTACTGCTTATGGTATGAATGCCTTCTAACCAAAAATTGATGACAGCCTGTGTTTTAATTTTGTCTGAAACTTATTGGTAGCCAACTGTTATCAAGGATGTGCTATTTTGTCAATATTGAGCCAAGAAACAATTAAGCTCATGAAAACATTCTTACTATAATCTGTTCCACTATACTAAACAGGGAAACAAGCACAAATAGTTTCATGGCACCAAAAATAAATTTGTCACAAAAACAAAAAGAAGATGTAAGTCCCGCAATTTTGGATTGAATTTGAGAAATGCCACAGTAGTCACATGTATATCACGTTATGTTATAATTGTGTGATTACAATCCCTAGCCTGCAACCAGTTACCAGATATTATCAAATCCCAGTCATTTTACATGCCAAATAGATTTGTAGAAAGTTTATAATGAATAAATAAAAAAAGAAAGCACAAGAAGTACCTTCTATCATGATAGTTATATATTCTGGCTCAATCTAAGTGAAGAACATCACTTAATTAACTTTCCAACCTAAGATTTATGAACAGTAGCCATGTAGCTACATAGCTTCAAGGTTGTGATGATGCTTAAATTTCTCTCTATATGTATTTATATATCTATAACTGTATCATTTATGTATTCGAGGAACCTCAGTACTGAGCTTAATTCATTCCACAATGCTGGGGAAGCTGACCAAATTTGTGTTTGTCGAGAAAAGGTGGCCATGATCATGTTCCACACCTGATGTGAAGTTCCCAAATGGAAGCAAAATTTTGCTGAATGATTCTGTTTGTGAAATGAATTGTTTGCAAACAAAAGTGTTCATGAGCCAAGGTATCAATATATATAATATATGTGGAAATATACATAGAAATGATGAATAGTTATGTGGAGAAAATGCAGGTACATTATTGCCACTGACACGTTATTGGTATTGGTGGACTTTAACTTGAGTAGCATCACAGGCCCTCTCTTAAACCAGTCCCTGCAAAGTAATGGAAAGGCAAGATTAGTATAGATTAACCAAGATTCACATCCTTGGGCTGAGGAAGAGCCCAGCTTTCCCTGTGTCCTAAGTTGCCTAGTGCCTGAAGGAAACAAGAGCTCTGTTAATACATTAGAAAGAATTAATTTTCGTTGTATATTGGAAAAAACTCAAAATAATAGCTTGTTACTATTTTTTTCTGTACATAAAAGTTCACAGATAAATAGTTCAGTCCAATGACACCATCAGAATCAGGCTTGTCTATTCTTCTGCCTAAATATCCACAATATTTAAGTTCTGTTGTCAAGGTAGCTACTGAAGCTCCAGCCATCACTTCATGCCCCATATAAGAAAAGGAAGGAGATGGAAAACAAGCCCCCTTCTTGGTAGAGACTTCTTGCAAGCCCAAGAAATTAGTCCACTTCTACCTTATTAGCTAGAACTTTGTTACATGGAGACAAATAGCTACACGGGAGACTACAAAGTACACTTGAATGCATTCAGCCAAAAAAATTATGATTGTTACTGAGGAAGAAAGGACCAGTAGATGTTAGAGTATAGAGCTGCCAGACTGTTCTGCAGGTGGCAGCCACAAGGGGATGGCATAAGTGAAAACGGAGGAGAGAAGCAAGGAAAACAGAAAACTTGTGTTGTCCTTAGTCTCAACCATTCAACTTTATTGCAAGTAATTTTCAGCAGTGAAATGGCCACAAAGAACGAGGAAGGAGAGGCAAAGGACATTGTAAATCAGCAAAGTATTGTACCTGTGTACAGATAATTAGGATCGTGTTTTGCACTGCATCGTTTTTTAGCCTACTTGGAGCACTTTACATATGAAAGGGTATTATTTTTCCAAATATGGAAATGTGAAAGTCAAGGTATGAATGATCTTTCCAGCTGAACCATCTTAATTAGCAACAAGGACACCTTTGGAAATAGCAAAGTATTACCTCCAAGGATAGGCTTATTATGGAAAGAGTGAGATTTTCTCAAAGTAGAGGAAAAAACAAAATGAGGAGCTAATTAGCCACAGAAAGCTCTGTGAAATTTATTGGTAAATTAGAGTTTATATGTATAAAGTCTTATTCTTATAAATGGCAACTTTCTTTCCTTATTTTTTAAAGGTAGCCAATCAAGTTGTTCAAGCTCTGCTCACTCAAAAGGTAGGTCACCTTTTACCTTTATTCTTTCCAAAGTACTTATGCGAATAGACAACAATTCACATTGTTGAACTACAAAATTATGATTGATGGATGCAATACTTTCCTATTTATTCACTTAGGCTAAAACCACGTGTGTCTGATTTGGTATATGAGGTAGCAACAATGAATGTCCAATAGAATTGTAAAATTTAGACTCTTGGTAAAGTAATAGAAAGCCCTTTAAAAATGAAAACTCTCCATGTATCCAAATGAGTAAGAGACCCGTCATTTTTATTTAGTGAATACAGCCTTTAAAATGTTGGTGGGCTCTTCTGATGCATATGAAATGAATGTCATCTTGGGGACAGCATTAAAAGAACCCTAAAATTCAGCAGGAGCACTTATGAGATTAAGGAAGGGATTTCATTTCTCTGTGTCTTAATTTCTTTTCTGAAATTAAGTAGGAGTAACACTTCCCAACCCACAGCATTGTTGTGGGTCTACAAAAGGGGACACCTAGAGCATTTCCATTAGGAGTCAGTTTGTGTTAAATAGCAAATCAATGGTAGAAGCTATGCATGAAATTTCTGTACCTTCTTTCTTTGCTACCTCCCCATTCTGCCTGCTGACAATGTAAGACCGTGTTACTGGGCAGAGTGGGTAAAGTTATGTCACTATTTGATTACATTTGCCTACTTTGGTGAACTTATTGAATGTGTCTTATATTTTGCAATAATACCTCTCAGAGGCTGAACTGTAGGCCCATCAGATTTTGTTTCTCCTAATTTCTCTTTCTGTGAAATGCTGGCTTCCTCTCCAAGAGGAAATCTCAGATCACGTGCAATGTTCAGGAGGATGTAACTAACGAGAGCAAATTTTGCACCATCTTGAATTTTTTATTTGAAAAGAATTTTATTAGCGCTTGACTGCTTCTACTGGAAATACTTAAAATTATTTTAATATATGCTGTACAGATATTGTAATAACATTTTTGCTAGGCTTCTTTCCTACTACTTCTGTCAAAATGTCATGTCTCTTTCTACAAATAATTTTAACTGCTTCAGGTTTTACCCTAACAATGCATAAATAAAGAGATTTAGGTACACTTATGTAGAGTTAGACTTAGGTTCCATTGTAATAGGCAAAACAGTGGAGGCTTAAATACTCTAAGACATTATAGCTTTCTCAGACCCAAATTTACAGGTCATAAGTAGAAGACAGATGTGGTAGCTATATGTCAGTAGGGTCCATGGCTTCTTTAAGGTCTTCTTATAGTCCCAATGAGGTGCTCTTTCTCCACTCATCTTACCCACATTCTAACTGTCAGAAAAAAAGAAAACAAAACAACAAGCAACAACAACCAAATGAAGGTAAAGCATAAGGAGAGTAAAGAGCATGTTCTGCTGTCTTTTAAGGAGGACTGCTAGGTCCTCACTTACATTTCCTTCAAGAATGCTCAGCTACACAGCCACACCTGTGGAAGCTGGTAAAAAAAAAAAAGTCTTTATTTTGAATATGGGCCCAGCTGAAAATTGATTGTCGTATTATTATGAACAAAGTGAAATTAAAATATAAGAGAGTAACTCACAACTTCTCCCATAGTATATTTGAATGCCTTCTCTCTCTTTCAAAGGCTTTAATTTCCCAGTTATTTTCTTCCCAGTGGAAACTGCTTATTTTCTTATAAAACTACGGGTGGAAAAGAGCTGATAACAGCTCTCTGTGCAACTGATGAAACACTTCTTCTGCCTGTGTCTTTAATTGTGCCTCAGGAAAGCGACAGAGGAGTCATTTAGTACAATGAAAAGGAAAACAGGATTCTTTGAGTCAGCCACAAAAAAAGCCACCCCACTCCAAGTAGGAGCTAGTAAACAGGTAAATCTACTTTTGTACATTTAAGCAGTATGACAGAAAGACATGCTACTGTGAGACAGGGTACCGCAGGCACCCCAGAAGGTGGAGAGATATACTGGTGGCTTTCAGAGGTTCCAAAAGATTCACATTCTGGCAAACTGAGTGCCTCCTGGTGTTTATAGGGACTGTAAAATTGCTGCAAAAAGGCAAGAAATTCTTTTTAATTGAGATCACAATATGGAAAATAAAAGGTACCCAAATGCAGATGAGAAAATTAATTCTAAAGAGGGAGGCAGTTGGACAGAGTAAAAGCCAAAATTTTCAATGATTTATCCAAGTCATACATAAACAAAACTTCTTGATGTGAAATTCTAGGTGAACGCTTCAGCTTTCAAATGTATCATTTCTTTTGACACAATGGCAATCTGGCTTGCCTTTAGCTCTTTGGTAGACAACACAAAACCATTTTTGTGGCATGTTATGAATTGGTCCAAACTGTCATCCTGAAGTAAGAATCTACCAATACTGATTGAGAAAAAACAACTTCATTTCCACACACTTATCATTTCCTGTTATGTGAATATATACTGTCCTGCTCAAGTAATTTAACTTATTGTCAAAGCTTCTGAATTTAATTAAAAGATCTAACTGTACTCTTTTCAATCAGTAATGCTAAAGTGACATTGTGAAAGCCGCCTCCAAATCATAGGCTCACATTTACAAATACAGGTAAAATCAATAAGGCTAAACTCATGTTTTGTGTGAAAATACTGTATCATCATTAAACCCATTGTATTCTCAAAATGTCACTTTCCTAGCATCTCCAATGGTTTTGCCATTAACACCAAACTTGGAATAAAAGCACTTTTCCTGCACTTAAATTTCCTCCAAATCAACATGTTCAGCCTTGTCTGCATGTCAGTACAGCAACCAGACTTTTATATGTCTTGTTTTCCTTCACCGAGAAGGAATTGAGCTGATGTAGGATAGAATCCAACAGTACAATCATTTGGATAAAAACAGCACAATTTTGTAGCTGGAAAGAATTTCAAACTCCTACATATTTCCCTTGTAGGAGAGGCAGTTGGACCATCTGTGTCCACTTCTGTAGCAATGGTCTGTGTAGAATCTGGCTCCTGAAGGGGTTTTGTTTATATTTACTGGGCATTGACAAGCAGTCACTCCCCCACATTCAGCACTTGAAATGCACTCATTTTATCCTTGTTTTAACCCTGTAAGGTGGGAATAAGAACATAATTTTCCATTTATTCCTGTTGCTGGGAAGCGGCAGAGCCCACACACACTTTTACCACCTTCTCCAATCTTCCTTCACAATCCCACTCAATCACTTACAGTTTTTTTCTGCTGCGTATCTATGGAGCAGAAAGTGATTCAGTGGAAATCACAGGGATTGAAACCCAACAGTTAGTTCTGCTTGCAGACAATAGAAGAAAGAGCAAGACAGCCAATAGACTTTTTCACACTTTCAGAAACATTGCTGGCCCTCTCCAGCAAGAACATTCAGGCTCTGATGTGTTTGCAGTTAAACTGTAACAGTGCAGTCAAGGTTTCTCAATGCTGATCTTCTCTGGGACCCTAGACTTTCACCATGGCTAGGAAATTTGTATGTGTGTGATCCTGAGAGTGTTGGCTAATTTTGGTAAGGCTTCGATTCACTGTAATCCCAGAAACTTTCCAGCCATTGCTCAGATTAAAAATGGCTTAAAATATGAAGATCTTCAGGATGAACACTTGCAGGATCCAGTCTGCCACAGGACTCGCTACTTCCTCAGTAGGATCCTGATTCAGTCCTAAGTGTGTGTCCCTTTGTGTGCGTGGTCGGTATTTGATGTTGAGGCCATTGGTTAGACTGAGAAGTGACCGGCCTTTCCCAGAAAGGATGTTTCTTTTTAAGGAAGTCTCAGTATCCTTTGTAGATGTTACGACAACAGGCTGGTAAGTGTGGCAGCCACTAAGTTTGAGAGAACTAACTAGGTGATACTCGACCCACTCTTGATGAAGCAGGTGAAATGGCTTGAAAAAACCAGTTCTACACATTGGCTTAGTTTACAAATGAGGAAACTGAGGCCTCTTTAGGGAAATTCACTTGATCAAGGTCATGTGGGTAAAAAGGATCAGAACACAGACCCTCTACCTACAGTCTGTTATATTCCCATGATGGACACTGCCTCTGAATTAAATATACTGTTACCATATTTTCAGATGATAAAGTCAGATTTGAATAGTCTTCAACAGGACTCCAGTAATAATGTCAACACATGTCCTGCTTTGAACCAATCAGCATTTTCTTAAACTGAATTTAGTGTTAGAGCTGGTACTGGTTTTGCTTTTTACAAGCATGAAATACCTGTATTCCCACAGGAATTATATATCAGTAGGTCCAGAATCCTCTTAAGCTCAGGGACAGTTTACCTGGGTTCCAATGTATGCCACCCCTGGGGAAATTATTGTTTGAGATCAAGAGGTAGATGGCCGGGCTCAGTATACTTCCCTTTTGGTAGTGATACATTAGTTTCTGACTCAGTTCCATAGTGACTTGTACATTGCAAGGGTAATAAATCTGGCTGTTTTCCTAAACCCGAAGCCCATTGTACTTTCTTGAAAGTGGTCAAATCTTTGACATGATTTCCCCATGGAAAAATTAAACACCATTTTCCCTTTTTATAGCAGAAGACACAACCTTGTATTTTCAGTTAGGTTCATCTCTTGAGGCCCAAGACAGGGAGTTAGGGAGTCAGAGAAAAAAAATGGTTATGAGAGAGAACGGATGATCCAGCCTCTGCCTCAGGCCATGACCTCAGACTGTGGCATCTAAACGAGAAAATTATTTCATTTCTACAGCTTTATTGGGGAGGCTATTCTAGGTCTGGCCCCTGTAACTCACGGAATCAGGATAGTTGCTCTGGTACCCAGCCTCAGTATTTCATCTGCTCCTTTATGTTGGTGGGTTCCTATTGTGAGCACAGAGGAAGCAAAGACAGCCAGCTGCCACCTCTTTCCAGCCATGATAGCAGCAGTCAGAGTTGTTTTGCTCTCTGAGTCCACTCTAATTGTGTTTGTGTGGACACGTGGGCACACATGAGTTGGAAAATATCTGGCATCAGTGGCTGCCCACTGCTTGAGTGAACATATAGGCAATTCTGGACTGTCCACAAGTTTCAGACCAGCTGGCTGAGCCCATAGTGATGGGCAGATAGCTCTAGAGTTGCTATGTTGTGTTCCTGCTCGTGAGCTGTTACCATGCCTAAGTAATGATACTGATCATGGACTGTTTACACTTTGTTTTATTATTTTAACCATGTGAAGAACTCTTTAAAGTTTTCCTTGGTTTTGCTCCTTAAAATTGTGAGTGCTGTTACTTTCAGCTCCCCCTTTTCCTTGCAAATCCAGCCCTGTATGTTTCTATTTCCATGCCTTCTACCTGAGGGTCATGTGTTTTTCCAACCAATAGATACTATTATCTACCTCACAGTCAAGTGTTATTAATTACTTAATTAGTAGTAGTAAAAACAATTAGTGTTTGGGAACAGAGAGTGTTATTCACATGCTAAGAGCAAAAATTAGCATAAGTGAGAGGAAGGCAGATATTGAATTCTAAAGAAAGCAAATTTACCCTTTCAATTTGTGTAAGGACTAGACCCCAGGATGGCCTCTGCCAGATGGATAAGAGCAAATGCACACTCCTGCTTCCATCCGTCTGAGTGTTGTTCCCAGGGTCTCACTCCAAACATGGCATTCTTTTGCCCCACCCTGCACTGCAGGCCACAGATCAGTGGAAAACACCCTAGGCATGAGCATCTCCCATTTAACTAAAACAGGGGAGGAAGGGGTAGACCGTGCAGTGAGCCATACCATGGCTTGTTTCTTTGCCCCATTTAAAAAGAGTGAATGCTACCTTCAGGATATAGTAGCACATATTCCCCCATAACCTAGCAGCTAGACCTTTCTAGCTTCCCAGGAGCCTGATTCAAGGTTAGGACACAAACACACTTGCCTCTGTGACTATCATCTAGGTGCTTGGTGTCAGAGTTATTGTTGGTGCTCTCTCTAGCTTACAAGACTTAAATAAAGCCTACAGCTGCCCCGTGTCAAAATATAAAGTTCCACAAAACAAAAGTGTTGAGAAATGGGAACTTTTCATGATGCCAATCACTAGAGAATAAAATTTGTCTTCATCAGCCCTTCTAGCAAAATAATTGCAGGTCTATATTAAACTCCTACTCTATGTGGTACAGTGCCAAATGATGGAATGAAAAGAATGTAAGAACTGTATGTTTCTGTGGTTGCTTATGTTGAAATCTTCCCGTGCCAGACTGTAGAAAGATGTGAAAAGTTAAAGCCAAGGAACAAATAATGAAATCCATACACAGTAGGGTATGCTAAACATTGCAGAGGAGGCATTGAGGACTCAGTGGAGGTGGGGAAAGGGCCAGGGAAGGTGGCAGCATGGTAATAAAAGTTTGAATTGGGCTTCAGCTATTCGGCCGGGCATGGTCTGTAAAAGGCGGTGGGTAAGAAGGGGAAAGTGGTGGTGGCAGAGGACAGAGGCCAGCAGAAATGCAGAGCTTTCACAAACAACAAGCATCCCTTAGTTCCCAGTACTGTGAGAGCAGAATATATTTTTAAGACATTGGGAAATAGTAAAAGACAAAATTTTGAAATGTAGAAAAGGATCAACTTCTGCAAAACCTTTAGTTGAGGCCTTATTCTACCAGAGCAAAGAGGATGGAGATATTTAAATATCACACTTATCTTTATCATTAGCTGGAAAGCGGGTAACGTGGGCTTCTAGGAAATCCTCAAGCTGCAAGGTATCAGCTCTGAAGAAAAGTCTGTCTGTGACTGAATCATTCAAAGGAGCTGCTCCAGGCCTCAAATATCAGCCTCAATACCACAAAGCAAACAAAATCCTCATTGCAAAAGGCTGCTGAGCTGGGCATCTATCCTTTCCTGGCATGTAGACTGAAACACCCTAGGAGATACAGAAATCCACTGGCTCAGAGGACGGGCGAGTTACAAGTGGCCTTTTAAAAACCTTCACTTCATTTACCCTTTTCTTACTAAATGCATCGCTGACTCTATTAGCCATAGTGCCGAGAATCTCAACTCGTTTCCACAAATGAAATCGAAAGACTCCATCAAAAGCGATCGTTTCTTTAGTTCATCAAACCTCTATTCATTGCAAAGACATTGTTGTCCTTGTGGTTTGTACTTTATGATTGCTTTTATGAAGACAGTGAAAAAGCAAAATATATAGGTAGAAACTTAAATTGACTTTATATCACTAAGATTTACTGTCTTCAAAAATAGCATGCTACATTAATGCATTTCTGATTTCAAGGTGCTTTTTTTTTAAATTGGTCTTCCCTGCACATAATAATTCTACCAGACAATGGTCTGTGGAAGAAAATATTTGTGATTTATTTCTGGGGCCTTTGAAAAATAAAAATACTATTTTTTACTAATGTATCTGAAACGTATATAAAATATGGTTATAATATGCAAAGATGTCTTTTAGTTATAGATGTTTTTCCCTTTCAATGTGCCTGTTTTAGGATCTAAGGGAGGAATGTGTAAAGTTGAAAACAAGAGTGTTTGATTTGGAACAACAGAACCGAACACTAAGTATCCTATTCCAACAGCGAGTCAGACCAACTTCTGATCTGCTCCTCCAGGTATGTGTTTATGTGGAAAAGAATCTTTACTGATAAAATGCTATTAACAGGAAGTAACTTAAATTCAAAACTTGTCAGCACCTCTAGGGACAAGGCATATGGTATCAAAATCCCAATTCTTTCCCATCTCCGGAGATGTCATTAAAATTGAATTTCTTCTAAATTCTTCACTTTTTTAAAGTTACGTACAGGTAAAGCAATGCTAATAAAGAATACACAGGCAAAAGAACAATCAGAGGGTGTTCTTCAGTAAGATAAGGGGAAACCAGGAGTGGAGTTAGGAAATGACTGTTTTGGGGACCAGTATTAGTAACTGTGCATTCCATGATAAGTGATGAAGACTTCTGTGTAATGCCAAAGCATATTATTTTTTTACTTCAGATTCTCTAGAATTTGAAATACACCTTGGATGTGTTTTTCTTCCATATCTCTCTCTATTGCAGAGTTCCTGGATTCTGTGTCAGTATTTTACAGATCCTCTTTTTCTAGAATGCTCTCGCTGTACTCTTACTTCATTTGCTTCTGTAACACGGAACACGGTGGAAAGCCAAACCATTAGCATCATTTTAAAGCTGTCCCTGACAAAGCACTAGAGAATAGTATCACAGCAGGGAAGCCCAGGAATTGGGAGAGAGAGCTGCAGGGCTGACCTTTGCTGTTTCTTATCTTTTTGATCTCATTAATGTGCCCATTTGCTCCTACAAGATCCCAAGAGCTTTGCTCAGAGCTTTCAGGGCTAAGCTGTCACAGGGCACATTGAGGTTTTAGGGGGCAGTATCAGCATACAAAGGGTAACCCACAGCTGCTTGGTCTAATTGGCTGACAGGAAGGTCCTCCAACCTCTGATCATCTAGATCTTACTGTCCAGCACTAGAACCATGAGCTATGTAGGGCTCTTTGAGTTTCTCCTTTCAAATTTTTCATTAAGTTAAAACTAAGTTCTTAAATCCAACTAGCTACATTACAAATATTCAGAAGCCCCATGTGGCCAGCAGCTACTACATTGGACAGTACAAAAATAGAACATTTCCAACATCGTACAAAGCTCTGCTGGACGGTATTGTTCCAAATGGCTGAGACTGTGTTGCCAATTTACCCTCTGAATCTGAGCCTCAACATCTTAGGACTCCTCAGAGATATAATGGGAAATTGCAATTCATTTCAGAGAAAGATGTTTGGTAAAACTGAGCATCAAAATGTAATTTGCCCCCCAAATTAAAATAAAACAGCTCTCTGAATTACAAAATAGATCTCATCTCTTAAATTAATTTCCTCTCTGCTTTATCTGGTGGAGTATAATTCATAATTTATAACTCAAAAATTGTGGTAGGGGAAAGAAGGAAGTCATTTATCTCTATTCTGTTTCCTGGCCCCAAACACAATAAATGTTTGTCATAGGGGATCTTGGTTTATAAAAAGTCGTGTTTGTTGTGCAATCTCATAATCAAGATCCAATATTAAAATTACTTTTAACAGCTGTTGCATGTTTATGAGTTTTTCTGTTTTTCCTGTTTTAACTTGAAGCTTCTCTGGAACAATGTTTGAGGCACTACATTCCCTGTTTATGAATCATGATAGGTTTTTTTGCATAGTAAACACATGTGCTGCAGATATTTAAGCTTATTCATGGGTTGTTAAATTTCTTAAATCCATGTTCGAGAGATAGGGGATGTGTATGTTAGCAACAGAACTCAGTATTTATTCATTGCATGTTTTCAGTCAATAAACTTTATATTCATCTGCAAATAATTTTCACTAGAATTAGGAGCCATTCTAATTTAAATAGCATTTATCAAAGCTAGGCTGTTAATAGTTCTGTGAAAAAGAATGAATAGAGAGTTGAGGCCTGCCCTCTAATGTCTCAGAGCTCGCCTCACAGAGAGGAAATTACTGGGTTTTACTTGGTTTGTTAATTATGCCACTCATAGATTTTCATCTTTAGGAGGCTCTATTGGTTTAACTGAGAAAGAAAGACATACCTTGGAGCTAAAAGAAAACCATTCTGAGCTTGCTTCACAGCTCTGGATATTCAGTAGTTACTTTTTGAATGGAATAATGAGAAAATGATAAATGTAGTATTCTAGAAATTGGTGCGTTATTTTTGTTAGTTTGCATAAACCCAAGAGAGCTTTGTGCCCTTTGTGCCGTCTTCTAAAGTTGTCCTTTTCCATGGACGCTGGAGCACTCGGCAGCTGCAGAGGCTCGGCCCATGCAGCGGGGAGGTGAGCTACAGCAAATTCACCATTCTGCCTCTTGGCCAAATATTATGGACCCTGCAGCAGCTGCCCATGGACTTCTTACTCAGCCCTGGAGATTTCTGGGCATTTCTTTATGCTGTAGAAAACTGGATTAGTGCTTATCTTCTGAGTACTGGCCAGTGATTCTCTACAATCTGAAGTAGCCACCTGATGATGAATATAGAACTATTTTTGAGCTCATTGTTATTTTGGTAGATAAACTGTAAACAGCATACAAAACATAACTTATAAGTAACAGTCCACTTTCTACCCCCAAATAGGGAACAGTTGGTTACATAGATGTCGCTTCACAAAACTTTGAATAGGAAAAACAAAAGGGGGTAGCTCTAAGGATTAGCTGATAGATTATAGTAATTTATAGAGAGTCAAGTGAGCTGGCACAGTGTTGCACACCTGTTGTCCCAGCCCCTGGGAGGCTGAGGCAAGAAGATCTCTGAACCCAGGAGTCTGAGACCAGCTTGGGCTTGATAAGGAGATCTCATGTCAAAAACGAAACAAGAACAAAGGGAGCCAGGTCCTTGATGGGGGATGGGAAGGAGGCTTAACCTTGAGATTGACAATAAACCTTTCTATTGATTCCAGTTTCTAAAATGATGTCTCTGGGAGAATGGGTGATAACAAATCAGACCAAGGACTTTCCTCTAAGATCAGCAATTTGAACTAAATTTTTTAAAAAATCTAGAAACCAGTATAGCAAATAAAATCCTAAAGTAGCCTTCATACAGGGACTGGAGTCCTTAACTGATCTGATCCAAACCTTCTTAGGCAGTGTAAGTAGTGCTAACCATTTCCTCCCATAAATCATACTGCACAGCAACTTCAACTTCATAAATGTTGACAACCAGAAAAGGTCTCTCTACTAAGTGTACTTATTTCTCTTACCAATTGGGTCGAACGCTTAGCAGGAATGAAGGATGTTTGTAACTCAGTTTGTTTATGAGGCGAATGCTTAAAATGGTAATTCTGTAATTTTAAAAATTAATAACACCATTTTATACCTACTATGTAAATCGATGAACTATCATGCAAAATGAAAATTGTTTCTCTAAAAGTGTTTCTAAAGCTTGTATAAAGGCAAGTAGCTAAAAACAAAACAATGTGATTACATTAAATATGGGTCTCTAACAGTAAGAAGAGTGTGAGAGCCTGTGGACTGTATGTATTAAATGTAGAGGAATTCTGCATGCAAACTGCTCCTTGAACAGTTTTAATGGAAAACACTAGTAATAAGATCTCTAGGGAAAAAGCAGCCTTGACCCTACCAGAAATATTACTGGACAAATGCATAGTACTGACTGTGTGACAATGCTGCTCTACCACACTTACTGCATTTTCCAATTTAATCTATTGCAATCCTGTGAGACACAACCAACCACTGCACTCATTTTACAAATGGGGACACAGACTAAGTGTCCTGGCACAGGGTAAGAATTAAATCTGAAAATCTAATAACATCACATCTGTCCCCTCCCCACTTCCCGACTTCCATTCAGTACTCCTTACGCAAGGAGCATGATATGCACGATGACCATTTTTTGGCTAATGGCTCTGACATTTTGATGAACTGTGATCAACTCAAATCAGAGGCTTCTGCAATACAATCACTATTGGCATTTATGCACTTCTAAAAGGTTCTTGGTTTGTGACATCTAAGATTTTACCCTCTCCCATGTTTTTGCCTTTGCCTTTTCTGCCTTTGAATACCTATGCTACTATCCTGATAGATTATTATTCTCATATTTTCGACCTGTAACAGTTTTTTTCTTTCTGATCTGACATTTCAAAAGGTCCTACTGCCCATATGCATGGGCCAAGATGGAAAGAAAAACATGTTATAAGGGAGATTATGCACATAAACAGTAGGGTGTCTGGCAGCTTAGAATTAAGGTGCAAATATATACTGTCACATCTTATTGTACTGATGTTGTCTTTTGTGCTAGTGATTTGCTTTATATTATTATATCAGATGAAAAGTGAAGGCATAAATTGCTGCAAATTTCTGAATTCTACTTGTTCCTCCATTTCTTTTTTTTGTCTTTCTTTCTTTTTCTAAACCTTTATTATCAGAGTGTAAATGTATACATAAGTCTGAGTTGGTGGGTTACCTCTCTCTCACTTCTCCACAGTTAACACATTCACTCTCTGAAATCCGGCCTACTGCTGTCACTTCTTCGGGCTCTCCAAGGTCATGCAGGTCCTCACTGAACTTTCCTTTTGCTGATGTTCATGTTAGACCTGGGATCTGCACCACATAAGTATACAGTCCATGGTCCTGTGTGGAATTAGGGGAACCTGGCCTCTCATGTCAGTGAAAGTCATCTAGTGCAATCCAAGGATCTTGCTAACTTTTCATTTGAACTCAGTCATAACTGCTTTGTGGACAAGACTTACACTAAATGTTGCTTTCCGCCTCCCACAGATATTGTCACTTTTCATAATACATAATCAGTCTGTACTTGTTGATGCCTTAAAACTTCATTGTATGCTTTTTCTGGAATTTAATTTTGAGGGAGGAAGTTATAGCCCCAATAAGATTTTAATCTTCTTGGTGAAAATTCATGCTTTTCTCTATACACTTGAGTGTGTTTTTGTGTCAACCCCCTGCACCCAAGTGCCTAATTCATATCTTAAATCATTTTATTTGGACAAGGGGCAATTTGCAAGCATTTATACTGTTTGCCATCTCAGTAGTTGCTGGTCTGCTGTAAACACCACACAAACTACCTGGAATGGAACATATAA